GAACTCAGTTAAATGCAAGAAGACTTCTCTTCCAAGAACTGAAAAGGTTTTTTGCGTATTTTCATTTTGCTTCTAAGGTAGCTTGATTTTAAATTGGTTGTGTATCTTAGCTTTACAAAAACATCTTAAATGCAAAGTAAAAAATGTTAGCATTCAGATTTACACACCCCCAAAAAATGTGCCTGGACTAGATCACTCTTAGAGAATCTGATTTTGATAGTTAATGTTATATTCCTTTTAAAAATATTTAGTTGTTCAATAATACTCTGATTTTTCTAAAATATGAATACATTTTATTCTCTCTAGGTTGGTGTGATTGATTTCTCTATGTATTTAAAGAATGATGATGATATTGGCAGTAAAGAAAGGTATGTTTTATCAAAACACTTTAGATTTTGTATATTGACTTAAATTATTTGTTGAAAATGGTCTAGTTACTTCTATTACAATTATTTTATTTATTAAGATTTCTAAAGTGGGCTTATAGTGCCAACCTTTATTCATAATGTTTTTTGTGGCTAATCCATGCTATGTCAATAAATAAATTGATTTTAAAATTGGTGATGCTCTTTGCATATGTATCTGTGTGGGTCTTGTTGTATGTGTGTGTGTGCCTTATGAGATTGGATTTTTTTTAGCACTGTCCATCAGAGCCTCACATGCTCTTTATGCTGCCTTGCACTCTTGTGCCAATGCTCTAAAGAATGGAGTAGCTGTGACTGTTTCACACATCTTTCCATCCAAATGTAATTTTTGTTAGTAATTCTTCACTTTCCTTATTTGTTAATTCTTTTAATTTGGATGTTCAAAAGAAATAAAAATCCACTCCCATTATATTTTCTTGTACGTTCCTCCACTCTCCCTGCCTTACAGCAAGATGAACCAAATGATAATTACTGCCAGGGCAGACTCAACCACAAAAAGCAGGATTTGCTTTTCCGATATGTGAGTATATAAAAGAACTGGCCACAGCCCTTTGGCAAACCCTGTTCTGCATTCAGTTGACCTCTGAAAGGATGGGGAAATGCTATCCAATATGCTTGGAAAAATTCAAGCACTTCAGTACTCACTAAATTATGGGTTGTTGGTAGTTTCAGTGATGCTAAAAAAAATTCAAGTCTCTGAAAGGACATGCCTAAGGACAGTGCATCCTGGAAGATGGATCTGCTCACGTGTCAAGACAGTGAATTAGTCTTACTGCAGCTACAGGTGGCAAATTGTCAGGCTCTGTGGGAGAGCATAACTTCCTTCTCAGGAAGCCAGAGAAAGTGGAAGTAAATTGTAGAGGAGGACAGATGCTTGCCAGAGCAGTACTTTGGCAGCTATGGAAGCATTGGACATGCTACAAGGTAAATGGACACAGCTGTCATTATGAGATGATCCTCAGGGCTGCCCACTTCTGGGATGCCTTGGGAGGTACAGTGTACTGTCATAAGACCCTCTCTTTAAATGAATGGGACAAAGTGTTGGTGGACCTTATCCAACATTCATACTCAAGTTGATTCAGAATTTCACTTTCAACCAATTCATCAACTGTCTTCTGTGGAAAAGATCTTTTGAAAACACAGAACTCTGTTATTACATTAAAAGAACTAAACCATATAGTCTGTTGTTTTTCTTCCATCTTCATCCCCTGGCTGTAGCCAGGTGTTTGCAGTTACTTTATCTCATCTTAGAGAGTGTTGAAATAGCTCACATCATGCATCATTCTGTGTTACTTTTTAGCTGCTGTACCTGTGCTATAGAACAGTGGTTCTGAACCCTTTTTGTACCAGGACCCATTTGTAAACATCAATGGCCAGCCCCCCAGTGTGTGGGGTAGGGGGTGGATGTTTGGGACAGGGGGGTATTTGTGGGTTAAGGGGGACCCCAAGCAGCCCCTCATAGGCTGGAACTTTGCCAGCCTGCAAGGGAAAAGCCACGGTTTTCCATGTTTTTCTCCTTTAAAGAAGAATCCATTTATAAAGTTTGTTGATCCATTTTTAAAGTTTGTTCATGACCCTTTCATATATTCTTGCGACCCATTTTTGGGTCATGACCCACAGGTTGAGAAACACTGCTATAGAACGATAAAGCTCACTTCAGCAATGTTCATGTGACAATGCTTCACACACATTGCAAGTTGGCAAGAGGGAGTAATCTGATCTGAATAAACCCTGTGCCTTTGGATTTAGTTGCTGTATCAAATGCTAAATTTGAGGATTAGTTATTATAAATGATGTTCAACTGATGAAACTGGAACTCTTATTCTTACTGTTCTGTGGGGATTTTGCTTGGCACTGACGCATGTTCAGAGAAGTAGGAAAAGTTACTATATTTACTCAAATACAAAGATGATACCTCTCAAAAAATTAGATTCTATATATGGAAAATTTATAAATTTATTATAATTTTCCAAGTATAGAATCTAATTACTGGAGGTTTGCCTTGAATTTGTCTCCCTCCCATTGCTACAGCTGGGAAAATAAATCTAGGGAGTCATGTAGCTCCCTTGCCCTCTCCCTCCTCCCAACTTTCTACCTCTTCTCAGCTTCTTCCCCTGGCAGCCCCTCCCCCCACTTACTGTCAGATCCTTCTCTCCCTGAGAATGTGGAAGTGAAAAACAAATTTGAAAATATTGACCTTGAAAGTAAATATACCTGTAGTAAGTTGCATATAGTATCCACAGATTTAGTTCATCCAGAATTAATGTATATTACCTTCTTGAAACTTCTGCATGTTTTAGCACAGATACTCCATAAGCACACTTTTAAGGAGCACTTTGGCCCCTATTTATATTTATACGTAGTACAAACTTTTTTTTTTTTAACCTTTATCAAGGCCAAACCAGTTCCAAATTTAGTTGGGCAATGCCCAATAGTCAAGTTTCAAAATTTGACTGAGCAGAGCTCAGTCATGAAGGCTGTGTGGCTCTACCACTGGGCAAGTATCCCGCCTTCCAGACCCGTTGGTCTGGGGTTTCAAATACTCCCCAAATCCAGGCTGGCATCCTATGTGCAAGTGTTAGGCCTGGAGGCTTTGGGGTCCAGATGCCCCCTGTCTTCCTTGATCTTAGCTAGAAGGCAGAGAAGAGATATATATAATACAAACTTCTTTTTTTCAAAAAAAATATACACACACAGACACACCCTTTTTTTTTTTTTTTTAAACACACATAAATGCATGTATGTATAATATAAATATATAAGACCTATACTTTCATGGACCTGTCTCGTGACCGATATGATTCACTTGACAGTCTAAAGCACACCTCTACAGTTGCATCATCATCTCCGTTACAGTAACCAGACTGAGCTCCCATGTTTCTGCACTCCTGTTGCCATTTTCTTGAACTCTTACAATAACAGGAAGCCACGTCCATTCTGTCTACCATCCCCTCCTCCATCCACCTCCCACTATCCCTCCATTTCCCTCCCCAGTCCTTAGTCCACACTGTGCTCATGACTCACCCCGTCTTTGTTGCTATCCGTTGTATCATTGTCCTCTCCATCGTTGTTGATGTATTTTCTGGGGGGCCTCATTTCTGAACAGTTTGTGCCAGTCTTTTCTTTTCCATGTATCCTCCATCTTCTCTCAGTTATCTTCTTTTGTCACCTTGTAGTACAAACTATGCACGATGTTTGTCCAAAGCCCAAAAGACTCATGATTTACCATATAATTCGTTGGGCTGCGCCCCAACAGTCGATAGCATTTCGAGCCATGGTGATTCCACAGCTCAGCACTGCTCAGTATGTGTATACTCCAGATACCTCGCTGGCCCCCACAAAGGATCCATGTGCTAATTAATTAGTCCCCACTCGATTGTAACCAGGTGTCCTTGTCGTGAGTTCTGAGATGCTCCAAAAAATTATATGCAGATGAGGCACAAGGCAACGTGGTCTGGCTTCACCTCATGGGGGGTGGGGCCACACTAATCATATGTGACAGGCTGAGTGAGGGGTTCTGAGTGAACTTTTTGGGGCCCTATTTGGTAATGTTTGCTAGACATTTAAGGCTGGTGAAGAGACGGGACTTGTTGGAAATGGGAAAGAAAGGCATAGCTCAGCTGTGGGAGTGAAAAGAATTGAAGAAATTGAAATGTATGCAGTGTAGTGGCTCACCTGACTCGGTGCTGAGGGGGACTGTTCTTAATTGGCATTACCATGTATCTTATTGAGATGGCCTGCATTAACCTGTTTTTGTGGTAAAGGAAATCTCATGATCACTGTGGTGGTTTTTCCAGGCCTACCCTCTGCACTCCAGGCATGCTGACTCCTCTGAGTTTCCTCAAACTCAACTGCACGATTTTGTGGCAATTTTGGGTGCTTTCTTGCTTTCCCCTTGGCTTGCTCCCTGGCTTTTTTGCTAAGAGCAAACAAGACTAGTGGACATCTGAACCTCAGGGGCCCTGGGCTTGCACATAGGATGTCTGCCATAGATTTGGGAAGTATCTGAAGCCCTGGACTGATGACTCTGGGAAAGATACTTGACTGATGGTTGAGCCACACAGACTTGCATGATGGAGTTCTGCTCAGTCAAAATTTGGAAATTGACTATTGGGCCTTGCCCAGTAAAATTTGGAACCAATTTAACCTTTGAAATAAAAAGAAAAAAAACCTCAAAATGTGGTAGGTTCCCAGCAGCATCTCAGCCTTTTGGCTAAGATCAAGCATTTTTAGCACTGAAGAGAGGGTGTTAGGGCTAGCTTTGGCCCTTGGTGTGCTGGCCTGGTATTCCAGTACCTCCAGGCCTGGTGCCAGTTCATTGCAGGGAGAGGGAACACCCACCCTTTTTTTTTAAGGGCCCCCCCCCAAAAAAAGTTTCCCATCATCAGCATGTTTGCTCAGTATAAACCATGTATTTTATAGTTATGCTCAGTGTTGGCTGCAGTTAATCAGCTTCATAGTTGGTTTCCATAACTGAACATGCTGCTTTGGCAGCAGTTTAATGATATAGAAAATGTATTTAATGAGGTTTCCTGGTATGTGAATGTAAGATGAGGGGCTCGCAATATAACTGTGGTTCTTCGAGGTGATGATGATGATGTCCAGAGGCATACCTGATAGGGTTTGTGCCTTGGGCCAGTTGGGGGTAGTGTTTGTCAACAGCTATGGGGTTAACACAGTAGCTGCTGCTGATTTGTGTGTCAAGTGAGGACATGAAACTCTTAATTCTGTGGTAAGAAAAGAGGCTCTGGGGGCAGGCAAGAGGATTAAATTCATGGCTGCTGCCTGTGCTAACACCTCCGCCTGTAGCAGCAGCATCATCTCTCATGGGAGGAGGCTGATGAGGGCACTCCTGCAACTGTAGCCATTAAAGTTGGCTTACTTAGCCCACTTTTGAAATCTTAATAAAACAATTGTATTAAAAATATTAAACCATTTTCAACAAATGGCTAGTCCATCATTTATTGTCTTGCACAGAACCATAAGAAGACACAGACAACTTAGCAATGTTTACTAAGGCCAGATATTATTTTAATATTGTAAAAGCTGTAATCTGTCTGTCTGACTGTCTGTCTGTCTGTCTGTCCATAACACTTTATTCGCACTTTGATTGGCTGACAGAAGCAACCAATCAGACTGCGAATACAGCATTTGGACAGGATGGTAGGGACACAGGGGATGGAGTGGGGGGTGAGAGGAGGAGGCAAGGCCAGCTGTGCTCTCCCTGCCCTGCTTCCTGGAGGTGGTAGCAATGAAGCAGACGGAACGGGGGGTGGGTGAGGTCAGTCCCCCTTGCTTCTGGGAGGTGGCAGTGGCAGCATGGGGGGAGTGGGGTTGGGGGGGCGTGGGGGAGCCTGCCCCCCCCCGCCCGCTCCCTGCAGGTGGCGAATACAGAAGTGCTGCTGGCCTCTCCCCCTCTTTCTCTCATGCTTCTCCCTCCTGATGTGGAGGGGGGAGCAGTGGGCCTGGGCCAACGTGGTGGTGGCAGGGG